GAGTTGCTGGGCTGAGCCTGGGGGTTGCAGGAAGCACTGGGGTCCTGCGGAGAGCAGGAGGCCATGGGAGCAGCGTGCATGGAGCCAGGGCAGCCACTGGCAGTCACGGGCACCTGGACGCTGGTGCCTGTGGGAACTGTGTCCCACCCCCACAGCCGGTGTCCTCCCTGGAGCTGGAGGCGCTGCGCCTGAGTCTGAGCGACGCACATGCAGCACAGCTGGAGCTGACACAGGCCAACCTGCAGAGGGAGAAGGAGGCAGCCCTGACAGAGCTGCGGGAGCTGCTGCGTGGCCGGCACGCCCAGGAGCTGGCTCTGCTGCGCAGCCGGCAGCGGCGGGAACTGGAGCTCGCCAGGGAGGAGGTGGCACACCGATGCAGCCAGGAGACAGGTGCGTGCGTGGCGGGGCAGGCCTCGTGGGAACCGGCTACAGAGCCTGCTCCTGCGTTTGGGGACATGGGCTGCTCCTGGCTGAGGTGCCCACCAGCAAGCAGGCTCCATGCCACAGGCATCATGGCACGTGGTGGGGTTGCTCAGAGTCCCACACATGGACGCCCACCATGCTCTGGGGACCTGTCTGTCTGCAGGTGGGCAGCTGTGCATCCTGCCCTGTGGGGCCCTGCATGCCCTTGTGCTCTGTGCCCCCTGCCTTGTGCAGTGCCCAGTGGTCGTGTCAGTCTCTGAAACGATGCTGTCAGAGGTGGTTTGCCCAGTGCTGGAGGTTTCGTCCATGTCTTTGAGAGGACTCTGGTCGTGGCCTGGCTTTGTCGAGACCAAACAAGACGCTCCTGGTCTCAACAAGCCTCCAGGCCCCCAAGCCCCCACTCCTTCTTTTGTGCCCAGTGGGGCCACGGCGCTCCTGGGGGCTGCCCATCTGCCTCTTAATAGGATGATTCTCCAGCCTAGACCGAGCTCTTTATTCATGTCTAAATGGATTTTTATGTTCTCATTTTAGTGCTTTCTTGTACATTTTTGGGTAAAGTAGGTGCTGCTTTTTGTGAATGTGTGTTTTCAAGCAATAGCTCTGTGGGTCTGTGATCCACATCACACAGTGGCCCAATTACCACGAGCTCTCTGGGGGCTTAATGCACCCAGAGTCATGTAGACATCAGTCACCACCCTGAAAAGGAACTGCACGCCCTTTGCCCTGCCGGTGTGAGTGCCTACGCTCTGCCCGCTGGGTGAGACTGTCTGCAAGCAGTGCGCCCAGCCCCGGAGGTGCCAGGGCTTTCTCTCAGGGCCCCCCAGCCCGAGAGGGAGCTGGTCTTCTTAGGGCTTGCAGTGCCTTCCTGTGCTTTTTTATGTCAGTTCAGGCAAATATGGGTGGACAGTTTTATGTCTCCCCATTTTTGTGTATTTTTTAAAACTGAAAACACACTTGCCTTAGTCCCCTTTCAATGCTGTTTTCTCCACATGCACCCCTGGAAACAGGTCCACCGAGAGGCCACACCTGCCCTACCTTCTGTGAGGCTCTGCTGAGGGCTGGGCCCCTGTGGCCAGGACGGGACCTGCCCTCAAAAGTGGCGTCTGGCCCTTTGCCTGAATTCTGACCTTTCTGAGGCCACCCTCACTGTGCACGTGTAGGGTAGCTGTCACCTGGTATTGCCTCCCCCCATCCACCTTGGCACCTTCCCAGGCCCCTGGCACCTCTCCCTGGTGCCCAGATTCCCCAGGTGTGAGCCTCAGCACCTGGAGTCTCTTCCCCCTTGGGATGGGGAGCTGTGAAGACCTAGAGCATCTCCATGTGCCCTGATTCGCCTGTCTTCCAGCCAGTCACTGGCCTGGCATCTGGCACAGGCAGGCCGAGGCCCTCGTGGCCAGGGGTGATGGGGTTGGGGTCTTTGGGGCCTGTGCAGCCCGCTCTGGCCTTGGCCTTCACGGTGTGCTGGCTGAAAATCTGGCTACCCTGGCTGAGGACAGATCCGATCTGTTACTTGAACTAGATACTTGCTCCCTCACAGACATGTCCTGTTGCCCATTAAGGTCAGCGCTTGCTCTGGGAGCAGCCAGCAGGTGCTGGGAGGGGAGCCCTCCCTCCTGGGTGGTCGGATGGCGGAAAAGTCTGGAGCTCAGGGATTGTACCACTTTTGATGTCTCTTGTAGCCGAGCTGAAGGAGAAGTTGCGGTCAGAAGTGGAGAAAAACGTGCAGATGGTCGAGGTGTGTGTGGCCAGAGTGCTGCTCTGAGTGCCGTTTTCCTTTCCCCCCCACCCCTCCACGTCCCGCGGCCCCCACAGGAAAGCCTCTCCCCCTGACTCGAAGTCCCACCCCAGCTTTCCCTGAGTGTGCTGATGGGGAGGGTGTTGTGTTGTGATCCTTCATTGGTGCAGTTTGTCAGCATAACAGCGCTCTCCCATCCCACAAAGTCTGGTTTCTGAGTGAAACCTCAGGACCTCCCTGTGCTTGGCCTCTTGTACAAGCCTCTGCCAGGTGGACAGCCCAGCACAGGGAGGTGGACCATGGCCATTCAGCAAAATGCATGGTGTGCCCCAGGGAAGCAGAGAGGGGCAAGGGGTAGTAGGGTGGAGGGTGTGCCCGCAGGCCCCAGACAGCCAAGCGTCCATGCAGTGTCTGCCCTGAGGGCTTCCGTCGGCTCCAGTTGTCATGCTGACCACAGCAGCTTGTCCTGTAATTGTCCTGCTGCTCCCACCTCACACTCCCATTTTGGGGGAGTGAGTTCTCTTTTAAGGCATCACAGAACTCGTTCTTTTCTAAGGAGGTGTCTCCCTGGCACTTGAGGTCCTCATGACCAGTCCCTTTATCAAGTCTGTGTCTATAGAAGGGCTCTTGGTGGCAGTGACAGCAGAGGAGTGAGTGACGCGAGGGGATGTGGGTGGTGAGGTCGGGACATTGTCGGTGTTAGGGTATATGGGCATCAGTGTCCTGGCTGTGTTGGTCAGGCAGCTGGTGGCAGACATCTCATGCCCAACCCCTGCCCCTGCACTCACAGTGGGGGCTCTGGGTGTTAGGATGGCATCTGGCCCCAGCAGGGGTCAGGCAGCAGCCTGGGAGGCATCCCCTGTATCTCATGGGGCCGTGTGCCTGTGCCGTGCTGGGCAAGTGGGCCTTGTCTTCTGCTTCTGCCCTCATAGCTCCAGATGTGGGCAGGCTGGGTGGCCGAACTGGCTCACTGGATGGGGTCAACTGCCCAGTCCTGGTTTTTGAATGTGCAATTATATTTTTTAAACACATATTGATAATCAGCTAAAGGCTATAGTCTCCTTTTTCCTTATTTAAATCAGACCTTGAAGCAAAACTGGGAATCTGAGAAAGAGGTTTGCTTAGAAAACCTACGCAAAGAACTGTTGGAAAAGCATCAGTCAGAACTGGAGAATTTACAAAGCCAGTGGAAGAGAGGGCTGGCAGAGCAGAAAGCTGAGTTGGAGAATATTCTTCAAGCCAGAAATCAGGCTGAGTGTGAGTATCTAATTAAAACGAGCAAGCTTGCAGAAGCTGTTTTTCCTGTCAACACTAGAATGAGTGGTGTGTGATTTCACCAGATTTATGACTGAACATGAATTTCCGGTGTGTTTAAACTCAGCTGAGTGTGTGACACCCACAGGGGATGGAGGTGTGGGCCTGTCAGCCTTGGTCTGCCTGTCTATCACAGGCTGTCAGGCGCCCTAAGTCTTCCTGAAACCCTTGCTTCAGCAATGTTTCCCATGCTCCCTTGCTAATTGCTACCAGAAGCAGCACCACAGCTGTTCACTTCTCATCTTGGGCTGCCTGTGACACAGCAATTCCCACTATCAGGAGACTGCTGGCCAGCCTGGCCAAGGAGGGCTGAGTGCTGGGGGAGGGCAGGGGGCCAGGGGTGCTGGGTGCCAGGAGGGCAGGATGCCAGGGGGGCTGGGTGCTGGGAGAGCTGGGTGCCGGGAGGGCCAGTTGCAGAAAGGCTGGGTGCCGGGAGGGCAGGGTGCCTGGGGGGCTGAGTGCTGGGGCAGCGGGGGGCTGGGAGTGCCAGGTACCAGAAGGGCAGGGGGCCAGGGATGTTAGGGGTTGGGTCCTGAGTGGTCAGGGGTTAGGTACCAGGACGGCAGGGGGTTGGGAGTGCTCGTTGCCAGGAGGGCAGGGGGCTGGGTACCAGGAGGGCAGGATGCCAGGGGGACCAGGGGCTGGGTGCCGGGAGGGCCAGTTGCCAGGAGGGCAGGGTGCCTGGGGGGCTGGGTGCTGGGTGGGCGGTGGGCAGGGTGTAGGTACCAGGAGGGCAGGGGGCTGGGTGTGCCAGGTGCCGGAGCAGCTGGTCCCGCCCTTGGGAGGTGCTGCTCTGCGGCCCTGTTGCTGTCCACTGAGCGCGCTGCAGGCGTCCCTTTTGGGGCCACAACCAGTACGGTCTGTGCTGCTCTCAGCTTCCCCGAAGGCGCTGGAGGCCCCACAGGAAGCAGCTGTGTGCAAGTTGCATTTGCATGAGGACCTACAGACTGAGCATGGCCAGCAAGTGGATGACCTAGAGTTGAAGTTCAGAGAGAAGCAGCTAGAGGTGGGCAAAAGCACATGTATTTGATGACGGGGCGGGGGGGCCATCTTAGAAGACTTGAGCTGGGGTTGTCTTTGCCCCCTGAGACTCTCCTGCTTGGTTGAGTGGGAAATGAAAGTGTAAGGCTTTGGAGTCTGTGGGGTTAACAGTTCTGCCCAGTCTTGCGTAGAAACAGTGCTGGGTTCCAGTGTCCCATCAGGCTTATCCACACATTTTAGGTGTGAGGCCCTATTCCCCAGCCCTAGAGCCGTAAACAGGCATTTCTGCTGCTTAAGAATTCAGACTCTTTCCAGTGAAACACTGCGTCTCAGGATGTGGGAGAGGTGGCCCCATCTCACTCAGACCGCAGGTGCTTTATCTCTAAACCCAAGAAGCAAGCAGCGCCCACAGGTGGGTTCCAGGTGGAGTCGGCTGTGGTGGTGCCTGGCCCACAGATGTGAGGACAGTGTGTGTGCTGCCTTGCGGCCCTCGGCAGTCCTGGCAGCCGGTTGTGCCCTCCCAGTCGGAAAGAGATGGTGGAAGGGCGCCTCTGCTCTGGCTGGATGGGAGAGGCTTGAAGGGCCATCCGTTTGGCTGCAGACAGCTGGGGCACTCATGCCTGCCCTTGGCCCAGTGCTTTTACCCCCCCGCTTTGTGACTGACAGGCTTCGAGCCCTCTGAGTTGGGGAGCTGCTCAGAGTGGTAGGTGGGGGCAGGCCGGAACTGGCCCATGTTTGGTATGCAAGCCCATTCACCCTGAAGTAGCTGCTTCCCAAGCCAGTTGACCATAAACAGTGGAGAAAACTGAAACCTACCCCACGAGGGGTGAGGGAGGGCTGTGAACAGAGGTGAACGGAAGGGCCTGTCACCTCCACGTGGAACAGAACCTGAACCCCACCACAGGATTGACGGGTGCTGGGCGTGAGGGAGGCCTGGCAGGGGCCAGTGGTGTGTTTTGTGAGTTCCCGTCACTGCCCCCACAGTTAGAGGGATATGTGTTTAGGACAACAGAGGAAGTTCCTGTCCTTGTTTATGAGAAAAAAATAGATGTCTTCCGGGAACAGGCTATGGGCTCGAGCAGGTAGTTTGTAGACACACAGGGCCCCAAGGACTGAGGCCAGGTAGCAGCTTGTTGGGCAGCACAGGCCTTTCCTCTGGCGCCACCACAGCTGGTTCCCCTGGATTTGGGGTTCAGGCTTTCTCTCCCTTGTGTTCGCCTCATGCCCAGCAGAGGCTTTCTGTGCATGGGGGATGTGAGCACTGTCCTCGGGTGCAGGTGCAGTCATGTCTCACCTTGTCGCCTTCCTTTCCCAGTTAGAGAACCTGCAGGCATCATACGAGGAGCTGAAGGCTCAGTCCCAAGGAGAAATCAGGCGCCTGTGGTCCCAGCTCGAGTCCACGAGAACGAGCAGACAAGAGCTGAGTGGTGAGGAATTTCAGGGTGAAAATTCAGACCCTCTGAAGCTATCAAAACCCCAAACTAGAGTTTAACAACGGTAGCAAGCACAAAAAAGTGATTTTGGAAATTCCCCTGAAGATTGACATGTAGTTTTAAGATAGAAATGTTTGGTGGTGGAGAGCCTTAGTTCCATCCTTAGGCAAGTTAGTTGAGTAATGGCTGCAGAAACGGATGTCCATCCTCTCGCTAACAGGGGCTCTTTGCAGGTGTCAAGTAAACAAAGCTCACAGCAGTGCTCACATGTGCTGGGAGCTGTGGCTCACATGTGCTGGGAGCTGTGGGGACACGGGTGTGTTTTGCCATGACCTCAAAGATCCCGAGAGCTCACCTGGCAGGTGCTGTCAGGCTCCTGTGGCCCAAGCTGTGCTTTGAAGGGTGAGGGGGAGGCCTAAGGCTACAGGCCCTAGCCACGTGGCCACCTGTGGAGAGGGGAGCTTACTTGGGTCCCCCCGACAGGACCCCAGTCAGAGCCTTCTCTGCTTGCAGGCAGCACTGTTGGCAGGCAGACATGTGGTTTCTCCTGCCAGTCTCCAGACAGGGCCTCTGAATGGGTGACTGCCTCCCTGGCAAATGTCATTTGGATAAAGAGCAGAGCTACAGAGAGGACCAGAAACATGCCCGTATGCTGCATGTCGCCTTCCCTGCCCCCTCCCTGGAGCTCAGCCCTTGTGTTTTCTCGGGCTGTGTGCTAATGGAGGCCTTGGGCAAGCTGGTGGACTCCCCTGCAGGATGGCCTCATGCATGCACTCAGGCGTGCCAGCTCCTGAGTGTTCCACTAGAGTCCTCGCTCTGGCATTTGAGGACCCTTCCAGGGAACTTTGAAATCTCTGGGATAGTGATCTGTTTATGTCCACATTATTGGAAAGCTAATTAATCATTAATTTTTGCAGACCAGCTGGCAGTGTTGTCTTGATTAAGATAGTGATGGGGACAGGTTCTTTTATGGCGTGTGTAACTGTTAACAAAATGTCATGGCCTTCATGGCTTAAAACCACAACGTGTAACAGCTCACAGACATGTGGGTAAAGTCTGAGACGGTGTGGTGGGGCTTTCGGCCAGGGCTTGGCTCCTCAGGCAGTGGCAGAATCCAGTCTGTGTGGCTGTAGGACTGGGGCCTGTTTCCTTGTGCCACCCACACTCCCTGCCCTGCTGCCCGCCATCTTCAGGGCTGCCAGCAGCATACGGAGGGCTACTCAGGCTTCCAATCTTCTTAATTCTACCACCAGCCTGAGAAAGCTACCTGCTTTGAAGAGACTTGTGGGGTTTGCTGAGGCCACCATGGTCATCACCCTGAATAAGGCCCCTGTGCCACATAGCGTGTGCCGCATTGTGCGAGGCACAAGAGGTCTTGCTTCCCCTTTACAGATTCTGGGGTTAGGGACCCTTTTTAGGGTCCTGCTCCTTTATCACACTTCAGGGTCTTAACTATCTCCTGAGTTTTCCTTAGTGTTCATTTTAAGATGGTTGCATAATTTCATTTTTTAAAGAGTTACATGAGCAGCTCCTGGCTCGAGTGTCTCACGTGGAAGAATTAGAACAGCTAAAGCAAGACTTTGAGCAGCAGCAGCGACGGGAGAAAGCTGAGCATGAGTCCCAGCTGGAGCAGCTGAGACTTTGCTTTGAGGAGAAGTTGAGGGATGCTGAAGAAAATCACCAGGAAGATGTGACTCTCCTACAGCAGCGGCTGTGGGAGATGAAGGAAGACTGTCTCCTGGAACCTGCGGGAAGCTGGTAAAGGAAGCTGTGTCATTTAAATACGGCTCTGAAGTGTGGCACCTCGAGCAGGACTGAAATCGAGTTTCGTTTGTCATTTCATGCCAGGGGAGTCTAATAGCCCTTTGTTTCGGAAACATGCCTTATTTTGGGGCCTCAAAAAAGACATTAAAGCTAGGAGCTGAATCTGATGTGTGCAACAGGCCACAGACGGCAGTGTGTGGGCAGTGGTGGGCATGAGCTATCAGGGTCCCACATCACCTTGGTGACCCTGTGGCTGTGACACTCGGCTGAGTTGAGTTGAGTTCAGCACCTGCTCTGCTGTCACAGACGTGGCTCACTTGGCCGCAGGCATCCAGACCTCAGTGCAGGCATGGGAGGGTGGTGAAAAGAGTAGGAAAGTATCCTTTATGCCGTTGACCCTCAGGGACAGTGGGTCTCTGTGGAAAAGGGCCATGTGTGAAGTTTTAAAACATATCTTCTCTCTTAGTTCATCCCGTGGATTTTTAGAAGAATCATCTGAGAGAGGAAGAACGGGCCACCTGGGTAGACTGAACCTTCTGGAGCAACATGAGGTGTGGGCCAGCTTTCCTAAAATTGAGACATAAATGACACATGACATTAGATTCAGGTGTATAACATGATGTGACGTGTGTGTTGTGAAATGACCACAGGGAGTCGAGTTAACATCCATCACCATCCATAGTTATGGCTTTCTCCCATGAAGAGGACTTTTAAGATCTCTGTTAACGGCTTTCAAATATGCAGCGTTATTCACTGTAGCAACCATGCTGTGGATACATCCTCAGGACTTATGTCTTTATCACTGGAAGTTTGTACCTTTTGACCCCCTTCGCCCATCTCACCCAGCCTACATGCCCTGCCTCCAGCAACCACCAGCTTATCTGTGAGCTCAGTTCTTTGTAGATTCCACATATGAGTGAGGTCGTATGGCATTTGTCTTTGTCTGACTTACTGCACTTAGCACAGGGCCCTCAGGGGCCATCCGCAGTGCTGCACATCACAAGATTTCATTTCTTTCTTATGCCTGAGTAATAGTCTACTAAATGTGCTTATATGATATATATGCACCACCGTTTCTTCATCCGTTTGTCCATCCATGGGAGCACTCTTCTAGCTGTAACATACCGCCAGGCCACAGTGTGGAGTGTAAAACCATAAAAGACCATAGAACTTGTAAAACAGACCAGAGGTTTGCTTCCATATCTGGGCTGTTGTGGTAGTGCTGCAGTGAATGTGGAGGCTTAGTGTATTTTCAAATTAGCATTTCCATTTTCTTTAGAAAAATACCAAGAAGTGGAATTGCTGGATCATAGGGTATTTCTATTTTTAGATTTTTGAGGACCCTCCATGCTATTTTTTTTTAAGCTTGGAATATTTTTTTAAATTGAAGTATCATTGATATACACTCTTATGAAGGTTTCACATGCACAACATTTACCCATATTCTCATGTCCTCCTCCCTCCCCCACCATTGCAGTCCCTGTGCATCAGCATAGTAAGACACTATACCGTCACTACTTGTCTTCTCCATGCTGTACTGCCTTCCCCATAACCTACCTATATTGTGTGTGCTAATTATAATGCCCCTTAATCCCCTTCTCCCTACCTCCCCAACCACCCTCCCCAACCCCTTCCCTTTGGTAACCACTAGTCCCTTCTTGGAGTCTGTGGGCCTCCTGCTGTTTTGTTCCTTCAGTTTTACTTCATTGTTATACTCAACAAATGAGTGAAATCATTTGGTATTTGTCTTTCTCTGCCTGGCTTATTTCACTGAGCATAATACCCTCTAGCTCCATCCATGTTGTTGCAAATGGTAGGATTTGTTTTCTTTTTATGACTGAATAATATTCCACTGTGTCTGTATACCATGTCTTCTTTATAGATTCATCTACTGATGGACACTTAGGTTGCTTCCATATCTTCGCTATTGTAAATAGTGCTGTGATAAACATAGGGGTGCATATGTCTTTTTGAATCTGAGATCTTGTCTGTTAGGCTGGAGAAAGGAAAAACAAGGACATGCAAACAGAACAGAGAGATGCCATAGGGGGAGAACAGACCAGACCCCAAAGTCTGTGCCATATATGGAAAGGGGACAGCTCTCCCTGAATTCCATCCTGATGTGCCAACTAAGACCCAGATGTCAGCCTCCTCTCTCTTGGAAGGAAAAAAAGTTTCTAGTTGACTATTATGTCACCTTTAGCCAATCATACCTCTCCACACCCCCTACGGTAGCTTGCCCACTCCTCCCCCTCCTAATCCCTTATAAGCCCCCCACCTCCCCAACCAGGTGTGACTTCTCTGGCCTGTGACAAGAAGGCCATAGAACCTCACCCGGGGGTATTTAAATAAATTACCTGGCCCTTTGTTGCCTCTCTTTGCCTGCTTATTTCAGCTAGAATTTATCTTACGTTGTCTTCTTTGGGTAAATTCCTAGGAGTGAAATTCCTGGGTCAAATTGTATTTCTATTTTTAGTCTACTTTTGTGTATTGAGTTAGACAATAATCTAGTTTCATTCTCTTACATGTAGTTCTCCAGTTTTGCCAACACCAGCTGTTGAAGAGGCTGTCATTTCCCCACTATATATCCATGGCTCCTTTATCGTATATTAATTGACCATATATGACCATATATATGACCATGTCTGGGCTCTCTATTCTGTTCCATTGATCTGTGGGTCTGTTCTTGTGCCAGTACCAAGTTGTTTTGATTACTGTGGCTTTGTAGTAGATCTTGAAGTCAGGGAGCATAATCCGCCCAGCTTTATTCTTCTTTCTCAGGATTGCTTTGGCTATTCGGGGTCTTTTGTGGTTCCATATGAATTTTAGAACTATTTTGGTCTAGTTTGTTGAAGAATACTGTTGGTATTTTGCTAGTGATTGTATTCAATCTGTAGATTGCTTTAGACAGAATGGCTGTTTTGACAGTATTCTTCCTATCCATGAGCACAGGATGTATTTCCATTTATTGGTATCTTTGATTTCTCTCATGAGTGTCTTGTAGTTTTCAGGGTATAGGTCGTTCACTTCCTTGGTTAGGTTTATTCCTAAGTATTTTATTCTTTTTGAGGCAACTGTGAATGGAATTGTTTCTCTTTTGTTTCTCTTTGATGATGTTCAGTAGTGTATTTACTTTCTTCCCTTTTTTGAAAATCAGGAACTTTGTTTATCTTTAACTTTCAGATTCATCTCCCTTTTCACAAGATACCTTTTAAAGTATGTGTTGGTTCATCATCCTTTTGCTCAAGTTCCCTGTTTATCCTGGGATATAATGTGTGCAGAGGCTTGAAACCATTGCCCTGTTTGCTACCCTCTCTTGGGCTTCTCTTCCCCTTGTGATGATGGCTCTGCTCTCCCTGGGGCAGTTGGCCTTCCCTCAATGGAAGACCTGTAATGTGTCTGATTTCCCCCTATTGCTGCTCTTGGCACAACAAAGAAAGCCCCCCACCCCTGTTTTTGCTCCACTTGTGTATGTGTTCAGTTAATTCCTGTCTAGGCTGCCAACTCCAGAGATAACAGTTGCTGTAGGTGCCAGAATGGATGCATTTCACTTGGGCGAATAGTTGCACCTGCTCGTGCTCAGCTCCTTCTGTCCCCATCAGCATGAGAGGTCTCCCACCGCTCCGCTTGGCATGATGCCCCTATGTCCTGGGAGTTTTCCTGCCTGCCGAGCTGGATTCGAGTCATTTCTGCCAATAATCTGTCCCTTTAATTTCTTCCCTCTTCAATGAATTCGTGTTTTCTCCAGGTAAAACATGATTTAGTTGAAGATCACCAGGAAGAACTGAAGAAAGCTAAGGAGAAGATACAGCTAATGAAAGAAGAATTCAGGGAAAGAGAAGCAGAGTGGAAAGCTACAAGTGAGGCCTCCAAGAGAGAAGCTGAAGAGAAACTGACCCTGATGCTGCGCGACCTGAGGGAACAGGCTGAGTCTGAGAAAGAGTCAATAGTAAACAGGTTCGAGCTTCGAGAAACCGAAATGAGGCAACTTCAGGATCGGCAGGCAGCCCAGATTCTGGACCTGGAGGGGTCCCTGAAGGAGCAGCAGGGCCGCCTGAGGCAGCTAGAGCTCGGGCTGGCTGGGGACGAGTCCCCTCAGTGCAGTCACTGTGGCCGGGAGCCGGGGGGTGGTCTGGCCTCTGCCCACCATGACCGGGAGCTCACTGTGCTCCACCTGAAGGAGGACTGTGCCCTCCAGCTGATGCTGGCCCAGAGCAGGTGGGTGATCTTCCTGCAGCGATGTGTTACATATTGAGGCACCTGCCAGGTTCCTAGGTGAGCCTCCCACTTCAGAGGAGAGAGGCCAGTCCCCTGGGAAGATGTGTGCTGGGTTCTCAGTAGCCTGCCAGGCAGCAGAGCCAAAGGTGACGAACCGTGCTCTGAGCCCTTGGTGTCCATCCCAGAACAGTGACAGCGAAGCTGCATCCTGTAGCCAGATATCCTGGTGTAGATGGCATTTGCACCCTCTGGCGGTCATCCCTGTGATGGACATGACTATGAATCATCTTTTTTTTTTTGTATCATTAATATACACTTACATAAGCAACATTGTGGTTACTAGACTCCCCCTATCACCAAGTCCCCCCACAAACCCCATTATAGTCACTGTCCATCAGTGTAGTAAGATGCTATAGGATCAGTACTTGTCTTCTCTGTGTTGTACAGCCCTCCCCATGCCCCCCAACACTATACATGCTAATTGTAATGCCCTGTTTTCCCCGTTATCTCTCCCTTCCCACCCATCCTCCCCAGTCCCTTTCCCTTTGGTAACTGTTAGTCCATTCTTGGGTTCTGTGAGTCTGCTGCTGTTTCGTTCCTTCAGTTTTGCTTTGTTCTTATGCTCCACAGATGAGTGAAATCATTTGATACTTGTCTTTCTCCGCCTGGCTTATTTCACTGAGCATAATACCCTCTAGCCCCATCCATGTTGTTGCAACCGTAGGATTTGTTTTCTTCTTATGGCTGAATAATATTCCATTGTGTATATGTACCACATCTTCTTTATCCATTCATCTACTGATGGACACTTAGGTTGCTTCCATTTCTTGGCTATTGTAAATAGTGCCGCGATAAACATAGGGTGCACCTGTCTTTTTCAAACTGGGCTGCTGCATTCCTAGGGTAAATTCTTAGAAGTGGAATTCCCGGGTCAAATGGTATTTCTAGTTTGAACTTTTTGAGGAACCTCCATACTGCTTTCCGCAATGGTTGAACTAGTTGACATTCCCACCAGCAGTGTAGGAGGGTTCCCCTTTCTATGCATCCTCACCAGCATCTGTAGTTGTTTGTCTTTTGGATGTTGGCCATCCTAACTGGTGTGAGGTGATATCTCATTGGGGTTTTAATTTGCATTTCCCTGATGATTAGTGATGTGGAGCATCTTTTCATGTGTCTGTTGGCCATCTGAATTTCTGCTTTGGAGAAGTGTCTGTTCAGATCCTGTGCCCATTTTTTTTTGGATTATTTTCTTTTTGTTTGTTGAGGTGCATGAGCTCTTTATATATTTTGGATGACAGCCTTTTATTGGATCTGTCATTTATGAATATATTCTCCCATACTGTAGGATATCGTTTTGTTCTACTGATGGTATTCTTGCTGTACAGAAGCTTTTTAGTTTCATATAGTCCCACTTGTTCATTTTTGCTTTTGTTTCCCTTGCCCGGGGAGATATGTTCATGAAGAAGTTGCTCATGTTTATGTCCAAGAGATTTTTGCCTATGTTTTTTTCTGAGAGTTTTATGGTTTCATGACTTGCATTCAGGTCTTTGATCCATTTCTAATTTCCTTTTGTGTATGGGGTTAGACAGTGATCCAGTTTCATTCTCTTACATGTAGCTGTCCGGTTTTGCCAACGCCATCTGTTGAAGAGGCTGTCATTTCCCCATTGTATATCCATGACTCCTTTATCATATATTAATCAACCATGTATGCTTGGGTTAATATCTGGACTCTCTAGTCTGTTCCACTCGTCTGTGGCTCTGTTCTTGTGCCAGTACCAAGTTGTCTTGATTACTGTGGCTTTGTAGTAGAGCTTGAAGTCAGGGAGCGTAATTCCCCCTGCTTTATTCTTCCTTCTCAGGATTGCTTTGGCTATTTGGGGTCTTTTGTAGTTCCATATGAATTTTAGAACTATTTGTTCTAGTTCATTGAAGAATGCTTTTGGTATTTTGATAGGGATTGCATTGAGTCTATAGATTGCTTTAGGCAGGATGGCCATTTTGACAATATAAATTCTTCCTAGCCAAGAGCATGGGATGAATTTCCATTTATTAGTGTTCTCTTTAATTTCTTTTAAGTGTTCCATAGTTTTCAGGGTATAGGTCTTTCACTTCCTTGGTTAGGTTTATTCTTAGGTATTTTGTTCTTTTTGATGCAATTGTGAATGGAATTGTTTTCCTAATTTCTCTTTCTGCTAGTTCATCATTAGCGTATAGGAATGCAACAGATTTTTGTGTATTAATTTTGTATCCTGCAACTTTGCTGAATTCGGATATTAGATCTAGTAGTTTTGGAGTGGATTCTTTAAGGTTTTTTGTGTACAATATCATGTCATCTGCAAACAGTGACAGTTTATAACTTCTTCTTTACCAGTCTGGATGCCTTTTATTTCTTTGTGTTGTCTGATTGCCGTGGCTAGGACCTCCAGAACTATGTTGAATAAAAGTGGGTAGAGTGGGCATCTTTGCCTTGTTCCTGATCTTAGAGAAAAAGCCTTCAGCTCCTCACTGTTAAATATGATGTTGGCTGTGGGTTTGGGTTTGTCATATATGGGCTTTGGGCTTTATTATGTTGAGGGTGCTTGCACTATATCCATTTTGTTGAGAGTTTTTATCATGAACAGATGTTGAATTTTGTCAAATGCTTTTTCAGCATGTATGGATATGATCATGTGGTTTTTGTCTTTCTTTTTGTTGATGTGGTGGATGATGATGGATTTTTGAATGTTGTACCATCCTTGCATCCCTGGGATGAATCCCAGTTGATCATAGTGTATGATCCTCTTGATTTATTTTTGAATTTGTTTGCTAATATTTTGTTGAGTATTTTTGCATCTATATTCATCAGGGATATTGGTCTGTAGTTTTCTTTTTTGTGGTGTCTTTGCCTGGTTTTGGTATAAGAGTGATGCTAGCTTCATAGAATGAGTTTGGGAGTATTCCCTCCTCTTCTGTTTTTTAGAAAACTTTAAGGAGAATGGTATTATGTCTCCTTTAAATGTCTAATAAAGTTCAGCAATGTGTCCATCTCATCCAGGAGTTTTGTTCTTGGGTAGTTTTTTGATTACCAGTTCAGTTTGTTGCTGGTAATTGGTCTGTTTAGGTTTTCTCTTTCTTCCTTGGTCAGTCTTGGAAGGTTGTATTTTTCTAGAAAGTTGTCCATTTCTTCTAGGTTATCCATTTTGTTAGCATATAGATTTTCATAGTATTCTCTAATAAAACTTTATATTTCTGTGTTGTCCATTGTGATTTTTCCTTTCTCATTTCTGATTCTGTTTATGTGTGTAGATTCTCTTTTTGTCTTAGTAAGTCTGGCTAGAGGTTTATCTGTTTTGTTTACTTTCTCAAAGAACCAGCTCTTTGTTTCATTGATTTTTTCTATTTTATTCTTCTCAATTTTATTTATTTCTTCTGTGGTATTTATTATGTCCCTCCTTCTGTTGACTTTGGGCCTCATTTGTTCTTCTTTTGTCAGTTTCAGAATTGTGAATTTAGACTATTCATTTGGGATTGTTTTTCCTTCTTTAAATATGCCTGAATTGCTATATGCTTTTCTCTTAGAACTGTCTTTGCTGCATCCCACAGAAGTTGGGGCCTTGTGCTATTGTTTTCATTTGTCTCCATATATTGCTTGATCTGTTTTAATTTGGTAATTGATCCCTTGATTATTTTGGAGCATGTCAAGCCTCCATGTGTTTTTGAGCCTTTTTGTTTTCTTTGTACAGTTTATTTCTAGTTTTACACCTTTGTGATCTGAGAAGTTGGTTGGTATAATTCCAATCTTTTTGAATTTACTGAAGCTCTTTTTTGGGCCAAGTGTGTGGTCTATTCTGGAAAATGTTCCATGTGCACTTGAGAAAAATGTGTATCCTGCTACTTTTGGGTGTAGAGTTCTACAGATGTCTGTTAGGTCCATCTGTTCTAGTGTATTGTTCAGTGCCTCTGTGTCCTTACTTATTTTCTGTCTGGTTGTTCTGTCCTTTGGAGTGAGTGGTGTGTTGAAGTCTCCTAAAATGAAGGCATTGCATTCTGTTTCCTCCTTTAATTCTGTTAGTATTTGTTTTGCATATGTAGGTGATCCTGTGTTGGGTGCATAGATTTTTTTTAATTTTTTAATTTTGATATCATTAATGTACAATTACTTGAACAACATTATGATTACTAGACTCCCCCCATTATCAAGTCCCCCCCACATACCCCGTTACAGTCAGTGGGTGCAGAGATATTTATAATAGTTCTATCCTCTCGGTGGACTGTGCCCTTTATCATTATGTAATGTCCTTCTTTGTCTCTTAGTACTTTCTTTGTTTTGAAGTCTATTTTGTCTGATACAAGTACTGCAACAGCTGCTTTTTTCTCTGTGTTTTTCATGAAATACCTTTTTTCATCCCTTCACTTTTAGTCTGTGTATGTCTTTGGGTTTGAAGTCAGTCTCTTGTATGCAGCATATAGATGGGTCTTGCTTTTTTATCCATTCTTTTACTCTGTGTCTTTTGATTGGTGCACTCAGTCCATTTACATTTAGGGTGATTATCAGTAGATATGTACCTATTACCATTGCAGGCTTTGGATTCGTTGTTACCAAATGTTGAAGGGCAGCTTTGTTACTATCTAACCTTCTAACTTAACTCACTTATTACACTATTATAAACACAGTCTGGTGATTCTTTATTTCTCTCCATTCTTCCTCCTCCACTCTTTATATGTTAAGTGTTTTATTCTGTACTGTTTTGTGTTTCCCTTGACTGATTTTGTGGATAGCTGATTTTATTTTGCATTTAATTAGTATTTGGTTGGTCTACTTTCTTTGCTGTGATTTTATTTTCTCTGGTGACATCTATTTAGCCTTAGGCTTACTCCCATCTAGATCAGTCCCTTTAAAATACATTGTAGAGATGGTTTGTGGGAAGTAAATTCCCTCAACTTCTGCTTATCTGGAAATTGTTTAATCCCTCCTTAAAATTTAAATGATAATCTTGCTGGATACAGTATTCTTGGTTCTAGGCCCTTCTGTTTCACTGCATTTAATATATCATGCCACTCCCTTCTGGTCTGTAAGGTTTCTGCTGAGAAGTCTGAAGATAGCCTGATGTGCTTTCCTTTGTAGGTGATCTTTTTTCTCTCTGGCTGCTTTTAATACACTGTCCTTGTCTTTGATCTTTGCCATTGTCCTCCTTTGGTCCTTTGTGTTGGGAGATGTATGGACTTCCATGGTCTGAGAGACTATTTCCTTCCCCAGCTTGGGAAAGTTTTCAGTGATTATTCCTTCAAAGACATTTTCTATCCCTTTTTCTCTTTCTTCTTCTGTTACCCCTATAATGCGAATGTTGTTCCATTTGGATTGGTCACACAGTTCTCTTAATATTCTTTCAATCCTAGAGATCCTTTTATCTCTTTGTGCTTCAGCTTCTCTATTTCTGTTCTCTGATCTCTATTCCATTAACAGTCTCTTGCACCTCATCCAGTATGCTCTTAAGTCCTTCCATTGTTTGTTTCATTTCTGTTATTGCCCTCCTGAATTCATCCCTTAGCTCTTGAATATTTCTCTGTAGCTCCATCAGTATACTTATGACTTTTATTTTGAATTATTTTTCAGGAAGATTGGTGATTTCAGTCTCACCAAGTCCTCTCTCTGGTGTTTGAGGGATTTTGGACTGAACAAGGTTCTTCTGCCTTTTCATGGCAGTAGGAGTGATTGCCAAGAAGTGACATGTGTGTCAGCTACAAGAACAAAGTCCCTTCCTGCTTGCTGGTCACCTTGCCTGTCTCTGCTGTCTGTGCTGGTTAACCTCATACAGGGAGCAGCCTCTGGGTTAATACTCTAATCTCGCTAATCTGCTGTGGGTGGGGCGGCCCCTGGGATGGCCTAGGGCACTGGTGGGGGTCGCAGGCCAGCAGAGTGTGTTCTGGCAGAAGAGCAAAGCCCCTTTTCACCTCCCGGTCTCCACACCCATCTCTGCTGTCTGTGCCAGTCAACCACGCACAGGGAGCAGCCTCTGGGTTAATCCCTTGAGCTGCTGTGGGCTGGGCGGCCCTTGCAATGGCATAGGGCACTGACAGGGGTTGCAGATGAGTGGCACATGTTCTGCCACGAGATCAAAGCCCGTTTGTGACTCCCGGACTCTGCGCCAGCCTCTGCTATCTGTGCTGGTCAAGTGCGTGCAAGGAGAAGCCTCATTGCTAAGCTGTGTGGTTGCTGTAGGTGGGGCTGCTCCCTGGCTGTTCTGTAGCAATGGTGGGTCAGCTGCTTTGATTGCATTGTTGACAAGGGGGAAGGAATGGCAGGGTGCTTATCGCCGCGAGAGGCTTCAGAGCTATGTTGCCACCCATGGGGTTAGGGTGCCTGATGTGCCTTAAAGTTCCCAGCCTGCTGGGCTGATTATGCCAGGATGATTTTGTGCACCTGTTAAACCCTTGTCCCTTTAAGACTTTTAAAGCACCTGGTTTTCTTTTGTCCCAGGGCAGCTGGCTGTGGGAACCTGTTCATAGTCTCAGTCTCAAACCTTGCTTTTCCTCTCCTCCAATATCCAGTGCACTATGCAATGTGTCTGTGCTCCTGGGGCAGACCACCAGGGCCTGTTATTTAGCAGCCCTGTGCTTCCACTCCCTCCCCACTCTGATTCCCTTCCTCCCTCCAGTGGTCTGGGGTGGGGGGAGTGCTCGGGTCACGGCTTTGTATCCTACCCTTTTCCATGAGATGTTAGGCTCTCACAGATGTAGCCTGGCACGTGTACTCTTATCTTCTGGTCACTCTTTTAGGAATAGTTGTAGTCATTGTATTTTCAAAATACGTATGCTTTTGGGAGGAGATTTCCACCACCCTACTCATGCTGCCATCTTGAGAATCCTCCAACTACGAATCATCTTTTGCGGCATTTTTATTATTTGCTTGCATGTTTTAAAGCCTCCATGGCCAAACCTTAGGCCTCATTTATCATCAGGACACACAATGCTTTGCGTTTTTTTAAACTCAAACAGAAATGTCTTTAAAATAAGCTTTTTTCTAGAACAAATACACATGCCTAAGCAGATTTGAAGCGTGGCTTGGCCCTTGCCTGCCAGTGCTGGCTCCCATGAGCCCTGCACTCTTTGCTGCTAGTTCCGCTGCTGCTCGTCTGTCCGCTGCCCCCCAGCATCCTGGGGGTGCCCAGGGCTCTGGCTTTGGGGTCTGAGAATGTGATTCTGAACCCTGACCTCCACATGCCAGCTGGGTGGGCGCTGACACTGGTGCTCTTCCATGTGGTGGGGGCTGTGCGGCCAGTGGAAACGCTGCCCAGGTGGGATGGGAAGCTCTCACATAGAAGCAGCTCCTGCCATTCATGTGAACCTGTCAAATGTTAGGATACCTCACAATGTGTAAGGGCACCCATGGGCACTCCAGGTACCCCCAATCCTGATGGGAGTCTAGGTGCCTGATTCGGAGCCAGCCTCCTGCCTGGGTCTGTTTTGGCTGCCAGCACTACCTGGGGCTCTCTTTAATTCATGTCCCTTCATTCACAACAGGAGAGTTTATCTGGGTTCTTTTGAACACTGTCTGTGGCCTTGTGGGCTTTCGTGAGCCATGCTGCCATCCCTTCCTTTCAAGGTCATCCCTGTGGGTAGGCAGTGTCTGCTGACTCTGGTGTCTGCTGGGAGTGTATGTGTGCACACATCTGTGCTTTCTTGCTGTGGATCCCGTGTCTCCACTTCAGCCTGCAAGCAGGGGTAACTAGCTCTGACCTCTGAACTTCCCTGGCTTCACGTGGTGCCTTCACTCTTCACGTCTCTGTAGGGGATGCCCTCAGGCCATTTGTGCAGAGAGATAAGAAGTAGGACAGTTAAGATCCCAGAGGAGGGCAAGGGGTGCTTCCTGTAGGAGACGTGAGTAGGTGCATCACTGCGTGGCTTGTGCTGTTATGACTCTGTTTTGCTATCTGTTCACTTTGCATGTCATCTCAGGTTTTTAGAAGAACGTAAAGAAATCACAGAGAAGTTCACGGCGGAGCAGGATGCCGTCCTGCGGGAGGCCCAGGAGACGCACGCCAGTGAGCTCCGGCTCCTTCAGGGGAAGCACCAGCAGCATGTTCTGTCCTTGACGATGGAGCTTGAGACAAGGCACCAGGCCGAGGTTGAGGCACTGAAGGCTTCATTCGAGAGTGAGCAGCGGGCTCTTTTGGAAGCTCGTGTGGCTGAACTGCAGACAGAACATGCTGCTGAAATCAGCGCTCTGGAAACCAGACATTTGTCACACCTGGACTCTTTGGAGTCTTGTTACTTATCTGAGATCCAGGGCATACGGGATGAGCACAGGCGGGCCCTCGAGCTCTTGCAGTCAGACCTGGAGAAGCAGCTGTACAGAAAGGGTCCTCCCTGTCCAGCAACCCTGACCGGGGAGGTGGAGCACCTCCAGCAGGAGCCTGACGGGGAGCTTCCTCCTGCCAAGCACGGCCCGAGCCTGGAAGTGAGCACTGAATGTGGGGATGGCCGAGAAGCCCGTCAGGTGAGGCCCGCCCTTCAACCACCCATTGGCTCTGCGTGTGTGTGTGCAAGTGTGTCTCCCGCACTGCCACTGTGAGTGGTCACTTTCTTCATGAGATGGGTTACAACGGTGGCTTTAGAGGTTAGATGTAGCCTGGCACGTGTACTCTTATCTTCTGGTCACTCTTTTAGGAATAGTTGTAGTCATTGTATTTTCAAAATACGTATGCTTTTGGGAGGAGATTTCCACCACCCTACTCATGCTGCCATCTTGAGAATCCTCCAACTACGAATCATCTTTTGTGGCATTTTTATTATTTGCTTGCATGTTTTAAAGCCTCCATGGCCAAACCTTAGGCCTCATTTATCATCAGGACACACAATGCTTTGCGTTTTTTTAAACTCAAACAGAAATGTCTTTAAAATAAGCTTTTTTCTAGAACAAATACACATGCCTAAGCAGATTTGAAGCGTGGCTTGGCCCTTGCCTGCCAGTGCTGGCTCCCATGAGCCCTGCACTCTTTGCTGCTAGTTCCGCTGCTGCTCGTCTGTCCGCTGCCCCCCAGCATCCTGGGGGTGCCCAGGGCTCTGGCTTTGGGGTCTGAGAATGTGATTCTGAACCCTGACCTCCACATGCCAGCTGGGTGGGCGCTGACACTGGTGCTCTTCCATGTGGTGGGGGCTGTGCGGCCAGTGGAAACGCTGCCCAGGTGGGATGGGAAGCTCTCACATAGAAGCAGCTCCTGCCATTCATGTGAACCTGTCAAATGTTAGGATACCTCACAATGTGTAAGGGCACCCATGGGCACTCCAGGTACCCCCAATCCTGATGGGAGTCTAGGTGCCTGATTCGGAGCCAGCCTCCTGCCTGGGTCTGTTTTGGCTGCCAGCACTACCTGGGGCTCTCTTTAATTCATGTCCCTTCATTCACAACAGGAGAGTTTATCTGGGTTCTTTTGAACACTGTCTGTGGCCTTGTGGGCTTTCGTGAGCCATGCTGCCATCCCTTCCTTTCAAGGTCATCCCTGTGGGTAGGCAGTGTCTGCTGACTCTGGTGTCTGCTGGGAGTGTATGTGTGCACACATCTGTGCTTTCTTGCTGTGGATCCCGTGTCTCCACTTCAGCCTGCAAGCAGGGGTAACTAGCTCTGACCTCTGAACTTCCCTGGCTTCACGTGGTGCCTTCACTCTTCACGTCTCTGTAGGGGATGCCCTCAGGCCATTTGTGCAGAGAGATAAGAAGTAGGACAGTTAAGATCCCAGAGGAGGGCAAGGGGTGCTTCCTGTAGGAGACGTGAGTAGGTGCATCACTGCGTGGCTTGTGCTGTTATGACTCTGTTTTGCTATCTGTTCACTTTGCATGTCATCTCAGGTTTTTAGAAGAACGTAAAGAAATCACAGAGAAGTTCACGGCGGAGCAGGATGCCGTCCTGCGGGAGGCCCAGGAGACGCACGCCAGTGAGCTCCGGCTCCTTCAGGGGAAGCACCAGCAGCATGTTCTGTCCTTGACGATGGAGCTTGAGACAAGGCACCAGGCCGAGGTTGAGGCACTGAAGGCTTCATTCGAGAGTGAGCAGCGGGCTCTTTTGGAAGCTCGTGTGGCTGAACTGCAGACAGAACATGCTGCTGAAATCAGCGCTCTGGAAACCAGACATTTGTCACACCTGGACTCTTTGGAGTCTTGTTACTTATCTGAGATCCAGGGCATACGGGATGAGCACAGGCGGGCCCTCGAGCTCTTGCAGTCAGACCTGGAGAAGCAGCTGTACAGAAAGGGTCCTCCCTGTCCAGCAACCCTGACCGGGGAGGTGGAGCACCTCCAGCAGGAGCCTGACGGGGAGCTTCCTCCTGCCAAGCACGGCCCGAGCCTGGAAGTGAGCACTGAATGTGGGGATGGCCGAGAAGCCCGTCAGGTGAGGCCCGCCCTTCAACCACCCATTGGCTCTGCGTGTGTGTGTGCAAGTGTGTCTCCCGCACTGCCACTGTGAGTGGTCACTTTCTTCATGAGATGGGTTACAACGGTGGCTTTAGAGGTTATTTTTGGCCAAACTCCTTGGCAAAGGCTTTGGGTCTCTTAATCCTAGAAAAATGTGGATGTGCCTATGCACCAAATTCTGGGTCAGATGTTGTAAGTTTCAGACCCTTGCGGTGAGGCTTGGTTTTGTGGGGCTCCTGTCATGCGCATGGCACCTCAGATCCCCTTTCTTGGTGCTTCACTACACCCTCTGCCATGTATCAGTGCAGGGCCTTCCCCTCTGGCAGGGACTTCAAGTTTCAGACAAAAGGGAATTTCTGGGTGCAGCCCTGTTGCTCTGAGCCAGCACCCTTTACCCCTGCAGACACGCACTCTCCCTAGTGACACATTGGTTCCGCTGGGAGCTCTTGTCATGGAGCCTGATGTTGCTGCAGGGTTTTGTCTTCTTGCAGCAGACAGAGCTGCTCTATTTGGTGGGTGTGCCAGGCTCCTGAGTGGGCAGATGGTGTTGGGCCGCCCTGCCTGTGCAGGGTGGTACATATGCCTGGGGTGTTAGGGTGGCAGGGGAATGAGCTAAGGCTGGATGTAATTAAGTGTCACCATTCTGGCGAAGTAATACTCTGTCAAACATTTAGGAAGCTGCTATTCCCAGTACAAAATAGGAAATGTTCGGCCTGTATAAACAGATACCAGGTGGAAGTGTTTGTGTGGATTTGGACACGCTTTTTGAGGAGCTGATCCTGGGAGGGCCTGTCTGGCTCTGTGTGAGTCGGCTGCAGTAGTGAGTTTGTGGTCTGCCAATATCCAGTTGTTCAGGGCTGAAGGAACGGGGACCTTGCTTTGGTGGGTGCGATGGCTTCACTGTGTTTCAGTTCTGCCTGTTTTGCTAGCCTGACAGTGGGATCTTGGAAGAAGCCCTTGAAAGCAGGGCACAGTCGGGCCCCCTCTGTGGTCACCATCCTCTGGCCTGTCCTTGTGTTCCGGCCTCAGGACAGGTGTTGGTGGTGGTCTGTGGCTCCTCCTTAGGAGGAGATGGAGCAGCTGATCCTTTTGGTGTGAACTTGGAGAGCTGTCTGAAGATGCTGGGAGGTGCCCCCAGGCCGGTCCCTCCTCCACCTGCAGGCCCTCAGCTGTCTGCTTTGGTTCCCCTCCATGCAGACAGATGCTGTAGAGAACAGTGCTTATTCCCAGCCTGTGGATTTAAATGAGATTTTCTTGGTTTATTTGGTTTGGAAAAAAAAAAAGATTTTTAAAGAATATTCTAGAGGGAGAAACATGTATACATGAAAGTATGTGTTCTAAACCAGGACTTAACTTTATTTAGTGGCAAAATTTGATTGTAGGAAGCATATAGAATGTTTTATCACTTCATAGATAATGAGGTGTGTGTTCTTGGTGGGACAGAGGTGTGTGGAGGTGTGTGGGTGGTGGACACAGGCATGTGTGGATACCCTGCACCATCAGAGGTGCCTGCTGGAGGGAGAGGATCACAGTCCTAGCCCGGGTGCCTGGAGTTCAGCAAAATGCATGCAGCCAAGATGCAGAAGCACAGAGCAGAAGCAGGCACTGGAGGAGGGGGCCGCGCAGGTGAGTGGCTCTGAGCTACAGCGTGCCTCCTCCTCAGCAGCAGTGGCTTCAGGAGTGTCCTTGGTATGGGACTCTGGCCCCGACTGGGTGCCATGATGTTGGTAAAACCACTGGGCTCTGGGGCTCCCTCCCAGATGTTCTCATCAGAGCACTGTGATGCTTGCATGCAGCTGTGACAGCCTTCGTGAAGCCTACTGGGAGTGAGTGCTGTGGACATGCAAAGAGGACACAGGGTCTGTGCTCAGTTGCTCAGCCTCCCCGGGAGAGCATGTCCCAGCACCCCAGTGAGGTATCCTGCTGCCAGCCTCCCACACGGTCTCTTCTGCACAGCTGTCCCTGCCCTGTGCCCCCAACTCTGCACTCCCAGTACCTTGGGGCCCACAGCCTGACCCTGGGCACAACCCAACCCAGCCCCAGCTCCAGCTCCCTCCATCTCCTGTCCTTCCCCTTGTTCTCGTGAGGTCAGCCACCTGATGCCTCGCTTTCTAGAACATACTGGGTATGACCTCTGAACTCATCCTTGTCCCCTGCCTGGAAACTCATGTGCTTGCCCCTTTTCAGTCACAGCACCTCAGTGAGCCTTTCCCCGAGGCCCCATTTAGTACTGTACTGCTTGTCACCCATGGTCTCTGCTCCGTGCACTGGGAGTCCCAGGGCCTGGAGCAGCACAGACCTGCCTCCAGGGAGCTGGCCCAAGAGGGTTTTGATGCCAGGCTCAGCCTCTGCTCATCCTGTGCACCTCAGGGGCTATTTCTGCTGAGGTGCCGGTGGCCCTGTGCTCATGGTGTGCACAGACACAAGCACGTGACTGGGCACACCTCCCTCAGGCTTGTACCCCTGCAGTCCATCTGAGGGCACTGGCTGCACTCTCTGGCCCTGCTGCTTTGGCGTTCTTAGATTTCAGGTACTGTGTCTCCCATATCTGGTCTGTCTGGGGATGAGCGGGTGAGGATCTGTGTGTGCAATGATTCAGATAATTGGTGTTTTATGTGAAGCACCATGTACAAGTTTGTTCATCATGAGTTTTTCTTAGGTACTTTACTCAGGGGCTTTTCGGACACGCTCACCATAAAGCAAGGCCTGGATTTGCTAGGTGAAGGCAGTGTGTTCCTAAGCTTAGCGTTCAAGCGCTGCTTCATGTGCAAGTTCCCAGCGTGAGAAGGAGAAGGGCAAATAAATAAAGGAAAGCCTGAGAGGGAGGTTTGTTCCTAAAGTCTGGGAGTTGGCGTTTTTCTTGAGCTTTGCCCCTTGGGTTGTCCAGTTGCCCTGACTCTGGCGCTTTGGGTTTCCCGTATTGGAAGGGGCGAGAGGACAAAGGAGGGCATGTGCCCGCAGGCCCAGGCCCCCCAGGCAGCGGGGAGCGGAACCGCGCAGGCCTCTGCTGGATCCGTCCTCTCCTCGCAGTGCGCCTCACGTCTCTGTGTCCCCGCAGGACTTACTAACCTTAAAAATAAAACTCAGTTATTCCACCAGCAAAACGGGCTTATTGCAGGGCAGCAGAGAACTGCAACTCAGGACGTTAGGGCAAAACAGCAGAGCGGCAGAGGCCCTTTACAGAGGAGGGGGCCTGGGGCTGTTCTAAGCGGAAAGCTGTGGGGTCTGCAGGTGACCTGGAGGGGTGGGTGCGGAGCGCCCTCTGCAGGCCTCCCGGCGCCACTCAGTGCGGCTTCCCACTCAGGATTTTCGCATCCTTGAGCCCACTCAGCATCCCGCAGTGTCCCCCCAGCCTTCCCAGCCCCCTCGAGATTTCCCTTAGAGCCCCTTCAGTGCCCCCCTCATACCCCTAGTGAGGATGCTGTCCCCCTGGCACCGGGCGCTGCCCCGAGGCTGGCGGATGTGCTGGGGTGCCTGCGCATTCTCTGCCTCTGAACCATCTGCGCCGGGTGCCCCCTGGAGCTCCCAGCTCCTGGCCTGGGTGCTCCCCCTCCTGCCCTTCTCTTGCCTGTAGGCAGCGAGCCTCACGCCTTTGCCCCCTGGCCCAGCGTGGATGCCCGCATCGGCTGCCATCCAGTACTACTGGGCAGCAAGTGGCCCGGGTGGGCACCCCTGTACTTTGGTAAGGTTGTGAGGGTTACACGCTCCCTCAGGGCATTTTTTGTCTAGCTGATTTCACCGAAAAAGATGGCTGGGATAGGTGTCTGTATTTCTGTGGTGTCTGTAGTGATTTTTCCTTTATTATTTCTGATTCTGTTTATGTGTGTAGATCTGCCTGGCTTATTTCACTGAGTATAATACCCTCTAGAAAATCCTGAGAATAAGTTTTTAAAAATATTTTTTTCTTACATTGTCCTTACCTTCAGAACATGGGAAATTAAATAGACTTTTACTCAAGGTTGGAAATAGAAATGATTGTAAGTAGGTCTTCTGGGTGCAGCAGGGGCATGAGTAACCACTTCTGAGCCTGTTCAGTTGGGTTCTGAGGTGGCCTGCTGGGTGTCGCCCATCCCCAGGTGCATGGCCTTTCAGGGTGGAGGGCTGGGTACTGTCTGTGGTCTTCCCTGAGTGCGAGGTGGCTGCCCTTCTGCACTGGGTCCCGCACCTGCAGCTGCCAGCTCGGCTCTGGCTTCATCACTCTGACACACCTGGCCTTTGCCTCTGTCCTGGTGTATGTCTGCAGGTTCCCTCTTCAGGCCTGGGCGCGCATTGGGCAGGACAGGCCCCCAAAGGTGGGAGGACCGTTCCTGCTGCCCACAGTGCACAGGGGACCAACGCTTGTGTTTGCTGATTTTCTGCCTTCATTTGTCCTTCTTGTTATACTTTGTGTATGTCTGCAAACTGCCTTAAAACCCTTCCTGAAACAAAGAGGGGTTAAGAAATAGTTATATGCTCAGCTTCCAGCTGCCTTTCACCAAGTGCAGCTCTGTGTTGGGGGACTGTGGGTGCATCTGTAGGGCAGATGAGGAAGGGGGTTTTCATCACTGAGGCTGGTTCTTTGATTGTTCTCCCTCTCAGCCGGGGCTCCATATAGAGTCAGCTTCTGCCCTCTCTGTTCGTAAGCAGCGACAACGAGGCCTGGAAGGACCACAATGCCAGAGAGAGGTGGCAAGAGCCCACTGGGAGTGCTGCTGCGTGTGTATGTGGGGTGCAAGTGCCCAGGACTCAGGGGAGGAGGTTCATGAAGGCTCTTGGCCTGACTTCAAACACAAAGAACTTTTTTCCTGAAGAAAGTGATCAGTGGCTCAAAACAGTTCACCAAGAACATGTAGTGAAGCCTCCTGCCTATTAATGAGAGCATCGAATGGGCATGTGAGCATGCAGGGTTTGCCATGAGGACCCGCTCGCTGGAGGTCCTCATCAGGAAGCCCCCTAATGCCGCTGCTGGGCCTTGCAGCTCAGAGAGCTGATCTGCTGTGACTCAGTTTCCCCCTTGACTGTTAATCACCATTTATTATGTTCCTTGGAGGACTTACCTTTTCTTGGGTACCTGTGTTTTCTTATTTTTCCCCATGTCCTTCACAATGGGTAGAATTATTTCATGAGGGGTCTAAAACAGAGAAAAGAGAGTGGGAAAGAGGGTGTGGTCCTGTCCCTTGGCCTCAGTCCTGCAGTTTTGTGGTGCCCACTGGTGTTCAGGCTTTTGTTTTTGTATGTGCCAGCATTCTGGTGTTGGCATGCATGGAACCAGCATCGTGGGTCAAACCGCATCAGGGCTGTAGCTTCTTTCCTAGCTGTGAATGGTCCAGATCAACCCCATCCTTCCCTATAATGTGGTCGTGTGGTTTAGAGAGTTAAAGTACTTCGAAGTTTTGCAGTGTGTCATAACTGGAAAATGTGCTTGAATCCCTCCCTTTAAAGGATTGGAATTAAATCTATTTCAGGAGAGAAAGTTTATGAAAATGATATGTGTTAATTTGGAAACGGTGCCTTTGAAGTTGAGAGTATAATTATAGTGTTGTGCCATGGAAGCCTTGTTGTCTGATCTCTAGTACTGACAGATATCACATGTAAGGTCAGAACTCTGTGCTGACTCTTCTTGCTCCACAGGGTGGCCTGGTCCCTACAGAGGCTGAGGCCCAGTGTCCGGTTCTCCTGGCCACACTGGAGAAGGAGAAGCAGCAGACTGACCATCAGGAGGAGACAGGGCTGCTGAAGTGCCAGGCGGAAGCATTGCCAGGGCAGCAGATCACACCGCTAAAGGTACTGGGGTAAATTGCTGTCCTTTCTCATCTGCAAAGTAAATTTTTTTTTTTTTTTT